CTTAGAGACACACTGTTGCATGCTGGTATGTTTTCATTCCATTGATGTACTTATAATTGGATTTCGTTTCAAAAGCATTTTCAAAATTATTTAAATCTGATGTTTGTATTAATAATGTTGTATTATTTAATTAATTGGCATGAAAATTTTGTGTGGTTGTAGCAATGCTTAATCTCGAAGTTCTACTTGGAGCTCTTTATGTAAACACTCAGGTTTGCATTCTGCATGCTCTTTTCTTTTCATTATTCCTGTTATTTCAGTCTCATTCGGACAGTCTTATTGGCTGGTATTCCTATTCTAAAATGGTAATTAGTTTGAATAAGCAGAAAAACTTCTCATACCTCACATACATATGGCCAGGGAATGGTAAATTATACAATTTACATTCTGGTAGAGAGAGACGTAGCAGATTGTTGTGTCTCTCAGTTCTCGGGTATCTGTTGCAGATCGGGGCTGTGTGTCCAGCTATCATAGTGTAGCGTTTGTTCGCTCACGCCTCTACACAGCCCATGCTCGATCTTGTATCAGAAGGTACATGGCAATCCTACTGGCTCACAAGATACTTAAGCATTGAGGACTCTTGGGGAAAAATTAATCACAATCCCTAAATATAAAATATATTTAATTTGACTTTCTCTTCATGCACTAACACTCACAAACAAATAATACACTGGATGTATTTTTTATTTAATATTGTTATAATAATAATCTTCTGTTTTACAGATCCAGTTTTATTGCTAGTTTAGGCAGTGCAATTGCATCAACACCAATTGATGTTATAAGGGTATGTTTCATTAAATTACATAATTAACGAATTGACAATCAACATATCCAAAGGATAGTGGGAATAATTTTGTTCCATTTTGGTATAATCTTTTGATAATTATTTCTCCTCCCTAAAACAACAGAGGGAGTAATTTTGATATAGAGGTATAAATCTATGCTATAGTTTTGATATTTGTCTTTTTCTGTCTATTTTCTAAACCTGTACTTATTGATTTTTTATAAAATATTTGGTGCTGTAATATCCTTCTAGATTGAAAACAATTGGCTGTCATGGTTAGATGACAAATGTTTTATATGTTTGAGAGTATTGTTTCGATTTGAGGAATTGAGAAAGGTTTTCTAGAATTGATGTTCATGAAAATGAAAGCAATGTAATAATAAATGGAAAAATTTTTGTTAGTGTCATTGTAAGAAGGTTTGTTGACCTATGCAGGTGTTGGTGAATATATCGTAAGTTTAAATTAACAAAGTTATCCATACAAAGGTTATAGCTAAAACCAGTTTCACTTATTATATAAGGAAATAGGTGGAGGAGCTGTAACAGCCCAACATTTTCTTAAAAAGCATTAAAAAAAAGAGAATTACAATTGCTCTATCTCGTGGAGAGAAAATTGTCGTATTAGAACAACAGGAAAAAAAAACAACTATGTCATATATAGCAAATGTGAAAAGATAGCATGTGAGCGATGAAGACATCATGTGTAACAAAGTGTGTATTCTATAATACATTCCAGAGCATAAAGTATATTTAACCTTTTAGTTACAAATGAGAAACAGATTTTCAGCCCAGCGATATGAATGGGATGTTTCTTGCCTGACCTCCAGAGGTGTCTGACAGCTCTTTATCTATTGATTACTGAGGATCACAAGCTGCACGGCAGCAATTCCCACAAATTGGTGCCATAACCCATTCAAGGCATTGATAGAGACAGGTCCAGGAGTGCAGTGTGAGTGGTTGTGACTCTCTGTGATATTCCACACGTTTACAGTGTGCTGTGGGTTCAGAAGCAAATTGAGAGGATTATGAAAGATTACATGGAGATGGCACAATAAAACAGAAGGAATATAAAAAGAATAAGGATAAGAGAAAGAGAATTCATACATTGTGAAATCCCAAAGACTTTTCTCCAGGTTTGAGAAGTTTGTGTGAATACAAGTATCTTTTTTTTTTCCTTTGGAAAAGCAAGAAGAAAAAAAGTACATTTTCAGATGTTTTTGCAAACTGCACTTCTTTTATTGGTGACAATTTTTGTTTTTGAAATATGGGAAAAGGAGTAACAATGAAAAATTAAGTGGCATTTGAAAAAATATGATAGTAATATTATTGTTATTGACTTCTATTAATAAACTTCATACCATTTACATTCTGTAACGGAATTTTAGGATTTGATCTGCATTTAACTTGAAAAAATTTGTTGAATAATGTATTATTTTAATTTAACTTAGAAACATTTCGAATAACTAAGTGGTACAGGAAAAATATTTTTAATCTTATTTGAGCAGCAACATGTTATGATACTTTATCCAGAATTATTATTAATTATTGTTATTAAATCAAGCGTTATATTACCATGTATTAGCATAAACTCTCCCTGTTTTTCTGTGCACACATCTCCTTATTTTAGTTCATTTACATAAATCACCTCCTGTCCATGAGGCGCCATCGTCTTCCTATGCAAGACAAGTTCATGTTGGCTCTTATCAACACTCGCTGCGGGTCAAGCATATTCATGTATTTAAAAAAGTCTGTATCACTAGAACTGCCAGACTGCCGCTAGGGGAAAAAAAACTCCATAGCTAAAAGAGACATACAAATTTTTTTAAAAATTCAGTGCATTTTATATATTTTCATAAAGTATAGTTTCCAGATACTAAAAATATGTTTGAAACTTAGTATTGTTTAGAAATAACGATAAAAATATTTCTTTGTTGCGTTGTTTTAATTATCCACCTAATTGCTGCTCATTATTCTTGGGTGCCAAAATATCCTACCTTTCTGAAGTAATAAGCAGTAAGTTGAGAGTTTAACACTTAAATTACAGGATTAGGATTTGGTATTTTAAAGTATTAAGTTGCAATTTTCAGTGCGATAATTTTAAGTATGTGATATGTGAATTTGTTATTTTCATTTGAAAACTTATTTTAGTCATTTCATACAAGTCGGAATCGATGGACAATAGTATTGATAATAAATTAGTGAATTTGGGCATAATATTATGTTGGTAAAATGCATTGCTGGACTGAAATTTTTTTATTTTTCTCTAAAATAAAATGAAGATTTTCCTAAATATTTCATGGTAAAACATGTGGGGTCATGCCTATCCATAATACTTAATTATATCCTCAAATGTATTTTTTTCATCCTCCATGAATTTGTTGAGTGATTCAGGCCAATATCTTAACAGGTCAGTAAAGAGAGAAACTGAAACAAATGGCATTGTAGAAAGTGAAATACAATGTAAAAATGAATGAAAATCATTACAAATTTCTTACGCTTAATGAAAGTGTAACATGTGTTGACCAAAGTGTGCCAAAGCAATTTATAAGGTCTTTTTAATTAACACTTTCCATCCTACGGATGTATCTAATACGTTGTCTTCATTTTACTGCTTTTTCCTATGGATGTATGGTATACATCTATCTACTTTTATTGTTATTGACAGGTAATTAATGACTTTCAGACTTACATAGGCACCTAGAATATGCTTTTTAATATTATTAAGGTGGTCGCAGGGCAAACAACAATGAGCGGTTCTATTTTGTGCAAGTATTTGGAAATTTTCCAGGAAGTGATTGGTATTCATACTTTATATTTTATATATCCATACTTTCCGGACTATTGATTATGTTCAGAAAGTCTTTTTTTGTCAGTAGTATTTGTGCTGTTAGTGATATATACAGATGTTTAGAAGACATAATGTAAAATTCACTGTGACTCAACATTAGAAGATCAAGAGTGTTTAAATAATGGATCGGAACTGGATTCTTCTGATGATGTCAATTTTTTTCCTGGACTGTTAACTAGTTTGAGCAATGAAAATTATATTGAGGAGAGTAATAATGATGCCGATGATTCTTTTGGTGCATCTTCTTAAATTCAAGAAATTTCCTTTAGAATGCTGTGAAATTGATAAAGAATCTGAATTACCAGTGTTTAAAAAAAACTATGAAATAAAATTTCCTGTTAATGAAGACAACTGGACTAGATTATTTTTCATCATTTTTTTTATCACTGTATATAAGAAAGGCAGAAATAAATAGATATGTAAATGGAACTATATCTGCACTTCAGCAAAATATAATTATTATACGGCACCAGTATTGTTGACCCCTGAAGTTCACAGTGTTTCCCCCCATATTTTGTAACACAAAAATATACTTTCCACAAAAATATAAAATTGACAACACATGTTTCTTTGAATTGCATTCCCACTAACATCTTACAATTAAAAAATCATAAAACATATACAGATAAAAAGAGAAAAGACAATTCTACAAGATTTTATCAATTTCAAACTGATGTGTATGATAGCTTTTGTTTTGCGTTTTAAATAATAGTTACTATATATTTCCCAGAACACAGGAGTGAACCATGTGGCGTATCTCTCAGGATTGAATATGTTAAGCATTATTTGTAAATAATAGGAGTATGCATTAAATAATAAACATGTTTGTAAATTGATAACAATTTAAAGTTTAAACAAGAAATTGTGATGTAGAGAACTCCATATTCATTATATGTCTTTTGCCAACCGTTGTATCAAGTTTTTCAACATTTTTTGTTATTTTCCTTCAATTCTTTTCTACATTGCCAAAATATTTTTTTTATTGAATCTAATAACTGTTAATTAGTCAAGTTTTATCTTAACAAAGCAGTTGGTTTTACTATTTGTTTTTACTCTTTTGTTATGACTTTTTGATGTAATCCTATGGAAACTAATTCGTGTGCATTACTTTATAGACGAGACTAATGAACCAGAGAAAACTAAAACAAGTTGGTGGCAGCTCAAACCATATTTACTCGGGGAGTATGGACTGCTTGGTTCGGGTAATTATTTACAACTTTATATGCTTTCTCATTAATAAGAATCTAATACAGAATTCATCCTTAAAAGAGAATGAATAAATGATATCTTAAAATAAGTAGTAATTTCAGTAAGCTTATATTTTAAAATCTTGGTGACAATAATTTAAATTAGTAATTTTCAATTCATGCAAAAATTGAAAGAAAACTGTAGCTTTTAGCTGTGTGAGTGGTGACTAGTTTTGTTAGATACTCAGGAACTTAAAGAAAATCCAAAAACGATAAAAGTTTTTAATTTTTACTGAAAATTCAATGACACTATTTGCTATTCACATGTTACGTTATGGAACAGCAACTTTTTTTTGTATTTTTCAGTATGTGTTGAACCACATGAGTGTGATTATTATTGCTATTAATAAAAATTATACTATGTTATTGCAGTGTTGTGAAGCCTGTTTTTATTAAAATATTTAATTTATTATAGAGTTGTATGCAAGTATTTTAGTTGTTTTTGGACTTTACCTTTTTGAATTTCATACTTCATTTTAGAAAACAATTTGTTCAGCAGCACTTTTGCTGGTGCAAGCCACTAGTATTAATTAAAGTATTTGGAAAATGTGGTCTGACTGCGTCATTGTATCCTGGCAGTTTGACTGCTTAGAAAATACATATATACTTACTTTTTTTACTAAATGTGGGCTTTACTAAATTTGTTAATGATGTAAAGTACCTTATGGCAGAAGACTCCACATAATGCAGTAACTGTACCAATTAAATAAAATTTCCAATTACGTAATTTTCTGTTTTGCTCTTTTGTATGTTTTTGGCCTTTATTTACTTCCAATGGATAATTTGTTACAAAATGTTTTTTAACCATTGTAGAGATCACAACCATAATGAAATACAGGGATGCGGTTCACAGGATTTGTTGAAATGTTTTTTCTTGTGCACAACATATAATATGCGTTGACATGCGAGATCTGTGGAAGCACCTGTTGGTGCAAGTGCCTAGTCATCTTTGGGGCATACCAACCATTGTTTATTTTGCTCTGCCCTCTTCCCCATCTTTATCACAGACATGACTGCTAAGCACGGATAGTAGCAAGTTTCAGTACCATCGCAAATCATGAATATGCTCTGACCAGGAGTATTTTAATGATTTCAGATGAATCAGTGTTTATCCTTCAGAAATTTCAGTTCATGCTTATATAGTCTGATGAGGTCAGATAGGATGTCTATGACTGTTCAGACTTCTCATGTTCACTCTAAAACACATTTGTGTAAAGAATGGGGAAAAAAAAATTGAAGTTGACTGACACATTTTTGGACAAATGGGAATGAGTAGGTGAATCACACTACACAGCATAGTGT